ATGGGGAGGCGTCCCAAGCAAACGAGCAGGCATTTCTCAGAGGGAATGCAGGGTAAGTGATTTCAGAGTTTAGGGTAGTTGAAGGTGAGTGGGGAAGATGTTGCAGGCATTGACGAGTATGATAGTGCATGAGCCTTGATGGGAGGTGGCTGCAGTAACACAGACAGAGTGTGAGGTATTGCAGAGAAATGGTGGCACTTACACTGGAGGAATGGTGCAGGACATTATGTTCTTCCTGCAGTGTTGGATACTCCTTCAGATGGCTGACACCCAGCTAACAACATTGTTCTGGGCTGGCTTGGTCAGATTCTGTGGCCTTGGTTGCTGAGTCTACAGGTAGAGGAGGCCCTGTCTCTGCACGAACATGTTCAGCAGGATCTGTAGGTCCTTGCCCACAAAGCAGGGTTCTGATTTCCTGCTGTCTGCCATGTCTGGGGTGGTGCGGTGAAGTCAATATCAGGAACATGCAGGGCAGCTCCAGACTGACAGCAATGCAAAATGACCTTTTAAAAAGACCAGGGATATTGGTCAATTCTAAATTCTTCTATGAGCGGCAAGTTGCTTTGGGAATAATGGTAAGATGGGGCATACATTGGACATGATACTCTCCATCAGGGCAGAAACAGCAATTCATGCAATGAGTTGATAAGTTATGGTGAAAAAAACCCATTTGAACCCCTATGTAAGAATCACCCCACTCCATCAATGCGACTCGCACTTAGTCAGAATAAATAAGATGGCAGCCTATGGAAACGTATAACGAATTGTGATCATGTAATGAACTATTCTTGTGTTAACTACAAGAGACTCTTCTGGTTAGATAAGGAAGAGGTTTTCCCCTACCACACTAGACCAAGTAGATTCCTACACTTAAAGAGGATAGTGGTGGCAACTTTTATCACGAGAAACAGCTCATACTGTGTAATGAGCTGGTATGCTCATACAACATCTATATTGCTATGTTTGCAGTAGTTGAGTACATGTTCAAAGTTTCAGTCAGGACTATCCTTGGCATGTTGTTATTTCCTTTCTGATCTGCTTCTGAAAATTGTCATATTGACCACAAATAAAATCTAGTGGCATTTATAGGACATTGCAAAAACTTGCAAAACTATTAAATGAAAGCTTTCATAGATTTGTTTATTTACTGCGGTGTTGAAGTGAATAGTTTGTTTTGTGTATTCTGCAGCCAGATAATTTAAGTTGAGAAGTCACTATTATATCAAATATTGATGCAAACATGGAATTATTAACAAATGGCAGGACGATAAATGAAATGTTTCTTACCTGCTGTTGGAGGAAGGTTTATGGCCTGACATGATTTTCCATCCGTTGTCTTTTGGAAACCGTCATGGCACAAGCAATGTGGAATTCCGAACCTATTCTCACAGATTTGATCACACCCGCCATTTTTATGCAAGCAAGAATCAGCACCTGGAGTATTACCACAAGAAATCTTTAACAGTTCATAACTCTAACTTTAGCATTTATTCATAGTCTCATGTTTATAGTTAACATTTAGATACCTTGGAGATGGTTCGAATAAATGATCTAATATTAATTCATTGATTAACTAGTAATTATTTCAAAGTCGTAGAAAGTCCAGATTTGCTGTGAGTATATTTATACACAAATCACAGCAATTTGAGACAGGTTATGCTGTGCCGTTAACTACAAAAATCAGGAAATTGCTGATTGAAATGCGCTATTGCTCTGTTAACTGCTTGCAAAAGGTCACTCACTGCCTAGACCTCCATTCAATATAATGTTAACGTCACTGTCATCATAGATAAGGATTCACGAGAAAAGTTTGTTCACTTCATTCAGGGTATTCTTTAACAGTGTGGTAAGCATTAATTACTGCCAAACAATCTTTCTGACAATAGCTTTTGCAATTATGGAGCTCCATTCCTTCAGATTTAATTATTGCTGGAAATTTGCTTTATTTCGTAATGTCTACTCCATCTTCTTTGTTATTTTGACATTTCATTCTCTCTTGTTGAACAGCATTCTGTACATGATAGTGAATTCAATCTTTGAACTCACACTTTCTGGCTCACACATCACATTATTCATTAACAGCTATTTGACCTGTTAGGTTAATGAGAGCTCTGTTCATATAGCCCCCTGTGCCAAGTAGAGGGCAGTAGCTGTATGAATAGCTGGCTGGCAGAAACATCTAATGCACAAGTCCAGAGAAAATCTACAAGTGTAATGGATTGAAGGTTCTACTTTGTTCATTTCTGTCTAGCTCTGGTTCAAACATCTGACACCTTTATGTATTTCTTTTATTCATTCACAGGATGGAAGCATCACTACTTGGCCATTTACTGCCCATCCTTAACTGCCCTTGATGATGTGATGTTGAGCTGTCTTCTTGAATCCCAGAAGTCTTTGAGGTGTTGGAACATCCACAGTGCTGTCATGAAGAAGGAAATTCCGGGACTTTGACTCAGCAACTGTGAAGGAAAGGCAGTATGGTTCCAAGTCAGGACTTGGAGGTGAAAGTGCAGCCTGTGCTCCCAAGCATTTGCTGCCTTTGTCCTATGAGGTGGTAGAGATCATGCATTTGGAGGATGTTTTTGAAAGAGCATAGGTGAAATACTGATGTGCATCTACATGGCACACTCTCGTTATTATCACTGTCAGGTTTCCTTTAATCAAAACAGAAAGTGCTGGAGAAACCGAACAAGTTTAATGGCATTTGTGAAAAGAGAAGCAGAGTTAATGTTTCAAGTCCAATTACTGTTTTTGGAAACTGTCAAATTCCAAAGAAGGGTCATACCAGACCTGAAACGTTAACTCTGTTTTTCTCTCCACAGATGCTGCCAGATCTACTGAGTTTCTCCAGAACTTTGTTTCTATTTCAGATTTCCAGCATCCACAGTATTTTGCTTTTATCTGAGCATTTTCTTTACCTTCATTAGCTTTAGATCTACAATCATATTATGTCTTTAAGTGCTATTGACAGTAATGACCTAATAATGTATAACAATGACTATGTGTTGTAAGCATTGATTTAGTTTAAAGTTCATAATGAATTTGATTTGAATAAGTTTTCACAATTTATCTGCATGACTAGCAAAAGAAAAGAAATTGCAGTAGCTGTTCACCTGAGCTGCCTTTCATTTTGACCTGTGAAGCAATAGAACTTGAGAAGTTGTCAAGAAAAAGTCAACAGAAAAAAGTCATGATCAAGAAACAGCAACAGTGAATTCATCAACACCATCCAGCAGAAATTAGCAAAATATATGTTAAATGTTTCCTGAAACACAATGGTCAATCCATTTGCTGTGTAGAAAAAGTACACAAATAGGATTCGAGTAGGTAGCGTGATGTGGAACACAAGAATCAAGGAGGTTTCATACATAGGAGCCTGGATTTTCACCTTTGGAGTCCTTTAAATCTATCAACAAGAACAGATCAAGGGATTCCCTTCCATTCTCATTTCCAACAATTTTTATTGTCACGGTTTTAGAATATGGGCATTACAGAACTATCTTGCTCAGCAGGGGCCTGTTTTCCTTATATTCATTCATGGGATGTGGGCATCACTGGCTGGCCAGCATTTGTTGCCCATTCCTAGTTGCCATTGAGAAGATGGTGGTGACCCACCTTCTTGACCTGCTGCAGTCCATGTGCTGTAGGTAGAATTACAGTACCATTCGGGAGGGGATTCCAGGACTTTGATCCAGCAACAGTGAGGGAACAGCAATATATTTCCAAGTCAGTACGGTGAGTGGCTTAGAGGAGAACTTGCTCCTTCATTGCACTCCTTATATAACCGGAAGCCTTTCCTCAGATAAAGAGAACAAAACTGCTCATGATACCATAGTTGTGGTCTCAGCAAGGCCATGTAAAATTGCAGCAAGGCATCCCTGCTCTTGTACTCAAATCCTCTCAGTATGAAGGCCAACATACCATTTGCCTTCTTCACCACCTGCCACACCTGCATGCTTACTTTCAGCGCAGGGTATACAGGACACCCAAGGCTTCTTGTACCTCACCCTTTCCCAATCTATTACCATTCAGGTAATAATTTGTATTCCTGTTTTGTTTTTGCTACCAAAGAAAATAACTTACATTTATCTGCATTACACTCCAAATACCATGCATTTTTCCACTCGATCAAAATTATCCAAATCACACTGAACCATCTCTGCAACCTCCTCACAGTTCACTTTATGGCATCTGCAAACCCAGGGATATGACTGTTAGTTCCCTCATGTAAATTATTAATATATATTGTCAATAGCTGGGCCTAAGTCCTGATCCCTGTACTACCCCAAACAGTACTTTATCCATGTCAGTACGTTATCCACAAATCCCATACACTTTAATTTTGCATGCTAATTTCTTATTGAGTAGGATTTTATCAATAACTTTAAGGTCAAAGTAAACCACATTCCATAGCTCCTGCATATTAACTCTACTAGTTGCATCCTCAAAAATTTCCAGTAAATTTTGCAAGCACGATTTCCCTTTTGTAAATCCACACTGACTCCTTTATTCCAAGTCTTCTCCTTTTAAATCTTTTATAATGGAGTTTAGCACTTTCTTTGCTACTGATGTCAGGCTAATTGGTCTTTAATTCCTTGATTTCTCTCCAGCGCCATTTTAAAATAGTCGGGTTACATTACCTACCCTTTAAACCATTGGAACTATTCCAGACTCTACAGTGTCTTGAAAGATGACCAGTAATGCATCCATTACTCCCAGTGCTACCTCCTTAAATATCTACAGCATGATTCAAAGGAAGGGAAACCATAGGATCATGTGGAATGCTAGTTTATCCAGCCATTCAGTATTACTCATTGTGAAATTGGGCAGGGTTCAAAACCATGATTAGAGCCCATTCCTGTCAGTAGGTTTGGTTAAAGTTGCCTATGTCAACACGGATAATTTTTGGTGCAAAAATTTCTCGAAAGGATTGCTTAGAATGTATTTTTAAACAAGTTTTACTTTGCACCATCCAGCCTATTAATGCTAAATGAATTTACCTGGTTTGGCTATTGGATGAACTACAGCTAAAGATGAAGGTCGGATCATTCCACCTCGGAGTCGCACTCTATTGTGACCCGTCGACTTATCCACTCTCATAAGGGAAGGTTTGCTCCAGTCTGTAAACCAAACATGATCTTCAAATACTGCCACACCAAAGGGACGTCCTACAGGGTGGCAAGAACATTCAGGTCATTTCTTCAAAAGCTGTTCGCTTTTTGTTATGGATGAGAAAATATTTGTGTTAAAAAAGGAACCTCACCTACTTCGTTCTGTGCAAGTATCCGACGGTTGGATCCATCTAGATCTGACATCTCAATGACAGATTGTTTAGTATCGCACCAGTACAGCTTGTCTGTTAGGTAGTCTATGGCTATTCCACTGGGCCACATGAGGTTAGTGCTAACTATCACCAAACGACCGTCACCTTCCAGAGAAGAGGTTTCTATTCTAGGTTTATCTCCCCAGTCAGTCCAGAATAGTCTCCTTTATTAAATGGAATAACACACAATAAACTGCAATTTTATTTAGTTAGTATGTTATAAGTGTACCTATCAAGCATTAAGACAGATGTATTCAAATGTTAGATTGCAACAAAAGAGCTCATTGGACATAACATCAACATGAAAAGCTCTGTATATCAGGAATACTCTTGTGTTCATAGTTTTCCCACGTTATCAAGGTGCCAAGAATTTAGGCCAAAAAATTTAAAGGGACTTATTGCCTGAGCAATCTGGGTCTTTCAAATGTTCTTATTAATCTTTTATTCCAGTGATCAACTAATAGACTAGCTAATGGGACCATTACATCTTTCAGATCCCTGTGGTATTTACTTGCTGTAAATTAGTGAATAATTGGAATTTTAGTGAGTAATTTATGCACACATAGCCTAGCAAAATATTACAACACAAAATTACTTTATTTGAACTAGCTTTAAAAAAGTTCAGGTTGTAAAACATTGCTGCTATACAATATTGAGCTTTTGTTATTTTACATACTTAAATTAGTAGCATACTCTAAGAGAACAGAACCTACCAATCTTGCATAGAAGAAAGAAAATGACTTCCCATAGGCTTCCTCACATCACATATTGTGTTCTAACAAATGACTAAGAGGCCTCCTGTGCCTCATTCTCTGTGTTCTTAAACTGGCTTCTGCATTGCACATGGCAAGAAGTTGGCTCAAGTTGCTTTTCAATTGGACTGCTCTATAACACAAAAGGTGTCACTTCCACACAACCTGGTCAAGATCAAGAACTTGCTCTTGTGGAAAATTGTGAATGCATACTTTGCAGCCAGTTAAATGGCTCCCTTACAATTTTTTTAAAAAATTCATTTATTTGATGAGGGTGTTGCTGGCTTGGCCAGCATTTATTGCCCATTGCTAATTGACTGGAGGTCAGGTAGTAGTCAACCACATTGATGTGGGCCTAGAATCACATGTAAAACAGGTAAGGGCAGCAGATTTCATTCCCTAAAGGATATTAGTCAACCAGACAGTGGTTGCATAGTCACCCTTAGGTCATCTCTTCATTCTAGATTTTATTGAATTCCAATTTCACCATCTGCAATGGAATTAAACCCATGTCCCCAGAGCATTAGCCTGGGGTTCTAGATTACTAGTCCAGTGACATCACCACTATGCACTGACTACTCAGTGAGTTCTTGACCTACCAACTAATGCCCCTGAATTGAATGGCATAAGACAGAAAATCTTGCCCAATGCAGGAGGTTATTATCAACTACTATGGCACCATTTTGGAGATGATTACGATAATATCACACTCCCTCCTCTCGCATTTCCAGATCAAGTTTAATCTGGATATTTGAGAGAGTTATTGTTCTGTGGTCAGGCTGATCTAACAAGAATCTTGAACTGTTTATGTTTTATAGATAGTTTATTCATTAACTTCTATGCCACCTCCTTGATTTTACCTCTATTTTGTTTCTAGCTGTTACTGCATGTTGTCTGCCACCTCTTGAAGCTCAATGCGTTGAAATTTCATTGAAAGATATCAACTGCACATTTGGATATTGTTTATCTAGTATTTCGATACGGTCCTTTTATAACATGTTTTTTGGGTGACAAAGTGTCTGAATGTCCCAGTATTGACCCATTTCTAGGTATCCATTGAAGAATAGAAACTGGAGGATGAGTGAACAATAGGAGAATAACTGTTCTGTGGATTCTTGACCTGTGTAGCATCTTCTCACTGTATCCCTATAGGAACAAGTCTGAGAGTGGCAACGTCGTTGAGCAGGGGGTTACATTTCCATTGTCCACTCGTGTGGTGAGTTCAATTATCCTTCAGTGTGCCTTACAACAGCACAGTTAGACTAACTGATTTTAATATGGGAATACTATAGAGAAGAAGCACAATCCTTCAGAAGGTGTCATGAATGAGATTCTTTGAAATACTTTAATCTGATGATTAAAAAGACATATGATACAATCTAATTTTAGACTATACTATTATTTCAGCAATACAATGACTGCTTTGCCACTTTATATTTTTACGTTCTTACTTTGCCAATGGATGAACAATAATTCCTCTTGGCGTATCGATACCTTCATTGATGATCACTTCTCTATGCATGCCATTGAGTTCACTCCTCTCAATGTGTGATAACCTAAAAGGAGAGGCTATATTAAAGCTTTTTGGATGATTCATCCTTCGATTTCAGTCATGCAGCTATAATTATAATAATTTTTCTCACATTAGGATATGTTCTCATTCTCAAGGATATCCCTTCTTTTGATAGGGTTATAGGAAGGGTAATTACTTTTTAATATAAGATTTGAGAGTGCCTGCATTATTTCTGAGCAGTTCCACACATGCTATTGCTACTTTATGGTTCAATGCTTCTGTATCTAGCATATATTTATTAAATGTGCATGTAAGGGCTGTGAGTGGATACAGAGGGTAGAAGGAGCAATGGGTGGGTGTGTGAGAATGTGACAGCTTCAAGTTGAGTGCATTGTGCAGGCTCGCTACCTGCTCCCTTACCTCACAACATCAAAACTTCAGTCATCAGGAATAGAGGTGGAAATCCCAGAATCAGATCTGCCCATCATTTTTACAGAGTTTCAGAATGGCACCAACTTTGAGAAGATCTGGGCCTCCATGTTTAACTGCACACGCAGTTGTTGTCAATATCAGTGTAGAAAGGTGATGATGCAATTAGTTTTTTACCATAAAATCCATGTTTTTCTCTCTAATGTCCTTATAACAGCATTTCACTTGTGATAGCCAGGATGAACCTGGCTTGACATACTTAAACCTTTGTTTTCCTTCTAAAACTCCGTGAGCATGAGCATATAACTCTGTTGTAGTAAATTCAAGACATGGATATATTATTGCAAACTCTCAAATAAATTATCTTTCTTTGGGAGTGACAATTATGAAAACAATGATTTAAAAAAACAGCAGAAAATGCAGGAAATACTCAGACATTCCGACAGCACCTCTAGAGAGAAAAAAAGAGAATTAACCTCTATTTTTCTCTCCACAAATCTGCTGAACCTGCTTAGTATTTCCAGTGCTATTTGTTTTGATTTCAGATTTCCAGTATTGGCAGTATTTTGCTTTCACTGGAACCAATACTACCAGCTACACTGTGGGAAAGAAGTTATCAATTATAAGTGTCACAGCATTGTAATACGATTTCTAACTCAGATTGGTGCTCAGCTTCATTTCTACACCGCGGCTGAACTCCACATTTTTGGTCAAGTCTCCATATATTGGCCTCTTCAGAATTGTGGAGCATGCTGGAAATCCTTTTGCTTCCTCGTGTGTTGAATTATTGAAGGTGAGGAGGACAACCTGAGTCCCCTGTTTATGGCACTTACTGCTGTGTTCGGGTAAATTTTACTTCATTAACTGAAAAGATTTGGGACATTTAAACAACTTTTCAGTCCGTTAGTGACTGAGTGTGTGGGTGAATGAGTAAGTGAATGGGTGAATTTGGGTAGGGTGGGTGAGGTATGGGCAAGCAGGTATGTGGTACAGTAGGTGGGTAGGGGAAGAGCTGACAACTGGACACATCAATATCGGCAGAGAAGGGTGATGAAGCAATTAGTAACTACCATAAAACCCATGTTTTTCTCTCTAATGCCCTTCTAACAATGATAGCCAGGATAAACCTGGCAAGTGGGTAGGGTCATAGGGTTGTAGGGTGCTAGCTAGATGTCAGGCAGTTGCTAGATTTGGGTCAGTAAATTCAGGTTAGGAAGAGACTGGGGATCAGTGGGACATCAGGGCGATGGAGAGGTGTTAGAAACTAGTCATGTTAGTCCAGTTTACTGAAAGAGCCCTTGAATGAGTTCATGACTTGCAGATGAGACTCAATTGTAGATTACTACTGCTTTGTGCAAATTCATCATTTCTAAATGTTGATTATTGGTCACGATTTAACTTAGACTTAAGCATAACCTTTTCCTTGGAAGGCTTTTTATTAACAAGTTATAGTTGTTGCACTAATGATACATGGACTTCAGGAGCTGTTATAAGGAGAGATTATACAAATTAGGCCTGTTTTCACCAGAATTTAGAAGGTTAAGGGGTAATCTGATTAAAGTCTTCAAGATAATAACAGGAAAATACAGGTAGATTTGGGGATTCTAGGACTAAGGGACACAGTCTAAGAATCGGAGGCAGACCATTCAGGAGAGATATTAGGAAGCACTTCTACACGCAAAGGTTGGTAGAGGTTTGGGGATCTCCTTCACAACCTGCAGTGGATGCTGGATCATTTGTTAATTTTATATCTGAGATAGACTTTTGTTAAGCAAAAGTATTAAAGGATATGGGCCAAAGGCAAGCATATGGAATTAGGCCACAATGTCATTGAATGCCAGGGCAGGCTCGAGGGGCTGAATAGCCTACTCTAGTTCTTTTGTTCCTATAACTGTCGCTTGAATGGCTCCTAGGGTTTGAAGATTTTCTCTGAATTTTTCAAGTTCTTGGTGATGTTCATTATGCATGATGGCAAATATGCATTGATTATATTCAATTCTGTGAAGAAAGGTGGGCTCCTATCCAGGCTGCCTGAAGCTTAAATGTCTGGGAATTCTTGACACCTCAAGAAATTTGCAAAAACTCCCGCCAGCTGGTCTGCACAGGATTTGAGGACAATTGGGGACAATGTCAGCAAAATGAAAGAGCTGGTCTTTGACTTTAGGAAGCGGAGGGGAGGGGAACGCCCCTGTCGGCATCAATGGTGCTGAGTTGGAGATGGTTGAGAGTGTTAAATTCCTGGGAATGGTGATCACCAACAATCTCACAGCGACTGTCAAGAAGGCACAAGAATGCCTCTGCTTCCTCAGCATGTCCACAAAGACTCTTCCCAATTTTTATAGACACACCATAGAGAGTATCTTTTCTGAATGTATCACAGTGTGGTGTGGCAACTGCTCTTCCCAAGAGCCCAAGGAACTACAAAGAGTCATAAACACAGCCCTATCCATCAGGCAAAGAATCCTACCATCCGTCAACTCCTTCTTTACTTCCCGCTGCCTCGGGAAAGCAACCAACAAAATCAAAGACACCTCCCACCCTGGTTATACTCTCTTCCACCCTCTTCTATCTGGCAGAAATATGAAAGTTGGAATACACCACGAACAGATTCAAGAACAGCTGTTATCAGACTTTTGAATGGGCCTCTCAAATGTTAATTCTGATCTCTCTCTCTCTCTGCACCTTCTTTATGGCTCTAACACTGTTCTGCTACTCTAATGCACTTTGTATGGTTCGATCTGCCTGTATAGCACGCAAAACAACACTTTTCACTGTATCTCGGTTCATGTGACAACAATTATTCAAACTCAAACTCAAACTCAGTACCACCTTAATCCAGGAGTATAGGAACATCTAAGAAATTTGCCTCCACTAAACCATCAAGATGAGTAGAAAGTTCATTCACTGTCTCTCTGACCTGAAGGACAATACTGAGATCTAGAATGCCCTCTTGGGCTGGTTATCTTTGTCTTAATGTGTTTCCTCCTAACATTTGCAGCCTCACTGTTGAGGGCAATGAAAGATCTGCAGTAGTCCCAGCACACACAACCTCATTGTCTTGTGACTGCTGAATGAGATATATTCAAAACCACACAACATCTGCACGCAATACCGAAAAATAACGATTAAGGATGACTTGCAATGTTCATGTGATCTCTCTTCCATTATAGCAAACTGCTCTTTTACTCAACAATTGGGGAATTGTGGAGGAGTGGGTTAACAAGGTTCAGAGATAATCAAGGGATCAGCTGTACAGCTACTCAGGAGTTTGACTGGGATTTGTCAGTCTAACATTTCCTGCTAGCAAGTGAATCAAAACTATCTAAGGTCTCCAACTCAGAGCTGAAGACTTTTCCCGAATGCTTCAGGGAACAGAGCAATTACGGATTGGAAGTTCAAACTTTCCAGCCAATTTTCATCGTGTCAGTTCATTGGGACTTCTGTGGCATCCTGAGGTGTATCTTGGATCATTTGTCCTATCTCTGACTATCCAAAGATTGCAAGATCGGGGCCAAAAGTGTAAAAATGTGACAGATGTTGCGGCTATTAGTGCCTTCCTTTCAGTGGTAAAACACAAAGGTATGACACCAACTCAGTGTGGTCATGCTGAACTATTCCATTGCGCGTGAGCAACATTGTTTCATTGGAGAGATTGGTACGTGGTGAAATACCGATTGCCCTAAATGTGTTTGTAAAATGAGCAGCACTCATTGCTGAGTGTTGCAATGCAATCACCTCTTGACTTTAAATTGAACTAAGTTTATTGTCTGATTATTTCCAAATCCTCTTTCATGATGCTTACAGCTATTTGCTAAGTGGGTAACTTAAGGAGCACTGACAGATGTTCAGCTAAACACAGATTTTGATCCGACAGTTAAAATTAAGATAAACCGCAATAATTATCTGTCTAACTCCAGACATACCCTCTGTCAGTCCAGTATAATTTGCGGTTAATCCAGTCCACAGCTAGTCCTTCAGGTAAATCCAGATCATTGCTAATAAGTTCCTCACGCTCAGAACCATCCAGATTAGCTCTTTCAATCCACTTCAGGCCTGTGTGAGCAAAATAAATCTACAAGGAAAATACCAGAAAAATATTAAAAAGCTGTTAAATAACACAGAGCAGTCTTTTGTATGTTAAATTTTAGAGTCCTTCTGTAAGAAGAATATTATAGTATCATAGAGTTTTTAACAGTGTGAAAAGGGCCTTTCAGCCCATTGTATCCACACCAGTTAATGATCTTGCATGAGCCATTCACAGCATCCTAAATAAATCACATCTGTTTCAAGCTGCATGGAACGGCTGGAGAACAAATACTTCTTTTGGACATTCAGTGTTGGCATGAGACAACACAGTGTGGAGCTGGAGGAACACATCAGGTCAGGCAGCATCGAGTCAGGACGCAAAACGTCAACTTTCCTGCTCCTCTGATGCTGCCTGGCCTGCTGTGTTCCTCCAGCTCCACACTGTGTTGTCTCTGACTCCAGCATCTACTGTTTTTGCTATCTCCAACTGGCGGCATGAGATGCTCCAGAGCAAAGCCTCCCACAGTTAGCAGAGTAAGGCTTCCAATAAGAACATAAAACCTCGGAGCAGGAGTAGGCAATTCAGTCCCTTGAGCCTGTTTTTGCCACTTAATACGATCATGGCTGTTCTCATTTCAGCCTCAACTCCACTTGCTCCACAGGGGCTCTACCTGCTCCCTGTAACCCTTTGACACGCTACTAATTAAAAGTTTGTCAATTTTCTTACATTTATTCAGTGTCCCGGCATCCACTGCACACTGGGGTAGTAAATTATACAGATTCATGACTGTTTGATGGAAATAATTCCTCTCCATCTCTCCTTTAAAGCAGCCACACCTTACCCTAAAACTGCGACCTCTCATTCCCGATTGCCCCACAAAGGTTAAACATCAACTCTAATTCTACTTTAACAATCCCCTTTAGCATCTCATACCTCAATGAGCTCTTCTCTCATTCTTCTAAACTCTAGCAAGTACAGGCCTGAACTGCTCAAACTTTCCTCGATACCCCAACAACACCCATCACTCACTGGACGGAGAGAAATACTACAATGGTGTGAAATATGAGAGAGCTGCTGTGAAAATAACAATAACTGATCAAAAATATCATTTTTAAAGGAGTAAATCTCTCCTGATCAAAATTATGGCTTTCTTTGTAGTGATGCAAATTCACAATGACAGAACCAGTGACACATTAAGACTGATTCCCAAAGGGGACAACATTGACACAGAGCTCACAGTCCTACACACCATGAAGTACTGCTGTGACTTCATATAATGCAGTACAGGAGAGCTATTTAAATTGTATTTACTGTACATTTGGCACCAATATCTAGATTCTAGAGTACCTTTGAAAAAGTACTGCATCAAAGACTTCCCCCTTACAAGTAAAGATTACTGGGCACGAAGAGTATTGCGTTCAAAATGATTATTAGAACAACAGCAACAATACTAGATAATACTGGCACCATTGAAAACCATCCTAATGGTTTCTATGGCTGTAAAGTGAAAAGAATGCAGAATGTCTGCACGGTGTGGGGCGGGGGGGGTGGGTGCGGGAAGAAGCAATCTGCCCTGCTCCTCAGCATCAAAGCAGAAAAAAGGAATTTGTTAAAATTGAAAGAGCAAAAAGAGTGTGAATATGGAGGAAGGCTGATTTGTTTGCAAAGTGATAAGAGAATGATCATAAAGACATGATGTCAGTGTTCTGAGGGATACATGAGGTTAGGAGACTAATGGGTGATACATGGAAACAAATTACTTTGGGAAGGGGTGAACTGATCGAGTTTATATATCATGATGGAAGAGGGAGGAATGCATCTGAACAATCAAGCCTGAAAGTGCAGGATGTGGATGAAAGTTTAAGAGACAACGGGACTCAGGTACAGATTGAAAGAGGTTATTTTCCAGAGCTGTGTATCGGTTTTAACAGTTGACTGAATGTGGATTTTGAAGCTCAGCTAAGCTCAAAGATGACTAGTACAATATCATTGGAGTCAGATTCCAATATAGTGAGTGCCTAAGGAGGAGAATAGAAATCAAGTCAAAGTTACAAGGATCCTACCTTTTGCTTGGAAAAGTGAGGTAGGGCTGTAAATGGCCAAATAGCTTGGCAACTTTGGAGTTATCGAGGTCCTGTTCAACTTGATGGTAGGACCTGGGAGAAACGCTTAAGCACTACGTCCAAATGCTCTTTATTGTTCATCTGTTTTTAGTACGTTGTTCAGATAAATGATGACGTGGGGCGAACCTTGTAAAAGTGTTCTCCATGGTCCGCTGGAAAAGGGCACAGGCTGACGATATCCCAAATGGCAGTTTTGTATATCGGTATAAACCTTTATAGGTGTTAATTGTAGCATACTTCCAGGGTTCCTCATCCAGTCACAATTGCAGGTAGGTGTGGCTCATGTCCAGCTTCATAAAGGATAGCACCATCCCCCGCCAACCTTGCATTAGTCCTCTATTTGAAGGATCAGGTACTTATCCAGCTGTGAGAAGCAGTTTCCGTTTGCTTAAAATCCCCACAGAGGCAAACTGAGCCATCAGGCTTCACAATCTGTATAACCGGTGCCTTCTCTGTCCAGCCTTCTGATTGCCTTGCAGGTGAAAGTAGAGACGGAAAATGGCACTAAGCGGGCCTGGCAAAATCTTGGAATTGCTTCCTGGTCAACATGTAAAGTGGCTTTAGCCCCTTTGATAGTTCCAAACTCTTCCTGAAACACACCTGGGTATTTCACTAGAACTTCACTGAGGCAGCCATTTTCTATTTGAAAAATGTTGAGCCAATCCAGGTGAATCTTTCTCAACCAATTCCACCCCAATAGGCTTGGGCACGAGCCTTTTACTACCATCAGTGGTAACTGCACCAACTGCTTCTCATTGGAGACGCAAACCAAAATCATACCCTTAATCTATAACGGTTCCCCAGTGTATTTTCTCAGTCTGGCCTAGGTCTTGCGCAAACTTTATGATTGGAGTCCAGAGTGAATCTTGTTGAAGACAGGTTCTGCAACCACAAATACAGCTGTGCTGGTATCGATCTCCATCAGAACTGGGTGACCATTTAACCAAATATTAATTTGAATCGTTCCGATTTAGATGCCACTAAGCAATTTAATTGTTCTAACCCACATGTAGGGGAACATTGCAGGATGTGCACTCTCCCGGGTACCAGCCTACGAGGTTTCTTACTCAAGCCAGGCCTTGTAGGATTCCTTTGCTGTCTTGAGGCTGCATACCAGCAGCAACTACAATGGCTTGCCGGCCCAGATTCTGAAGAACGTTTTAGCCACTTGGCCGAAGCTCAGCTTTGTTGTGGGGTTCTGCTGTGGGTTGGCCTAGGGTTCCTCTGCCCAGGATATGCCCTGTGTGAGGCTCTGACATTGCCTGCACTCAAGTGGTGTTCCCCAAGCTCAGTTGGAGAGGTGAGGGTATCCACTTCTGTAGCTCCCATTCTCTACTTTCTGCATTTTCTAATGACAGGGCCAGTTGCAGTACCTGTTTGAAATCCAGTTGGGCTTCAGCTGATAGCTGCTTTTGCATGTTGATATCATTAATCCCACATACCAAACGGTCTATCAGCAACTCATTCAGGGTTAACCCAAAATCACATGCCTCTGCCACTCGCCTCAGCCTCGACAAAAATTCCAATACGGATTCCCCTATTTCTCTAACAGCTGCATAAAGCCAATAGCATCTCAGAATTAGGAGAGATTTGGGGTCGTAATATTCGTTAACCAACTCCGTCAGCACTTGGAAGCTTTTAGTGTCTGGTGTCCCTGGGAAAGTTAAACCTATTATAAACCAAAAATGTTACAGGTCCACACACAGTCTGAAGGGTTACTTGTTGCTTTTCATCTGACCCAATGTCATTTGACCAAAAAAAAAAATTGCATTCTTTCCACATTCTGGGCCCAGTCTTCAACAGTGGGATCAAATGAGTCAAGCTTCCCGAATAAAGGTATGATGCCAAAAATGCAACTCCAAGATGACTGTTGCAAGCGAATGTTCTTCAGGCATGTCCTGTTTTCTCTTGTCACCACTGAAATAATTGCAGACAGGCCAGTATCCCATCACCAAGTCACCCTTTATTTATCAGTGCATAAAGCACTGTCTGTGGCCAGGCAGCTCGGAGTCAGTCCCCTGAACTGAACAGATTCTAATCTCCTGGATATATTCGTCAGCCAGGGCTTACCTGATTGGCCCAGGTTAACAACTCCAATCAATGACCTCGTTGTCATCGAGGTCAATCTGCTTCCAATCACTACAGTCTCTCTATACCCTTCAGGATTCAAAATAGAATTATAAAACTTCAGACTATGAATTCTGTACTTCATTTTGATTTCACCACCACCGTATTCTCCTGTTTGCAAGGGTTTGCTCTCAGTAGAACTGCCCTATTTTCTGACGTTAACACCCAACTACTTTTGATGTGTGTCTCTTCTCTCCTACCATTAGCTCCTTGTTGACTTTTGCTCTATGCACTGTTGCCATCTGTTCCATTTGCTCCTCCTTCCCCCTTTTTCCACAACGTTATCTATCAGCTTACCAGCCCTCTTCAGTTCTAAGGAACAGTCACATTGGACTTAAAACATTAATTTTGTTTTTCTGTCCACAGATGCTGCCAGACATTGATATAATCTGCACATTTATAATTTTATATTCACTTTCACTGTTTTTCACACAATCACAGAACTGTTACAGGTCAGAAAGAGGCCATTCAGTCCAATGTGTTTGCATTATTATCTAGTGCCAATCTCCTGCATGCCACTTCTATCGAAATAAACATCTAATGCCCTCTTGAATTCCTCTATCGAACCTGCCTCTAGCACATTTCTAGGCAGTGCAGTCCGTGCCCTAACCACTCGTTGTGTGATGAAGTTTTTTCTTACATCATCCTTGCTTCACTTGCACATCACTTTAAATCTAGGCCTTCTCATTTTTTTTAAATGAGTGGGAACAGCTTCTCTCTGGGATGGGGATGGGGAGGGACTAGGAAATGAGTGTTGTTCCTTCAGCTTGCATTGTGCTGGAGGTCAGGATCTTTCCTACAGAAAGAGTGGTCACCCAGCCTCACCAATGTAAAGGAAACCACATTGTGAGCAGCGAATAGATTGAAGGGAGTTTAAACAAAACACTGCTTCACCTAAAAGGTATGATGGGGCCCTTAGACAGTAAGGAGGGAGGAAGTGAATGGATAAGAGTTACTCCTTCTGTGATTGCATCGGAAGATGCCATGGGGGAGTGAGATGATACTGGGAATGATGGAGGAGTGGACCAGGGTTTCAGGGAGGAACTGGTCCCTGTGGAATGCTGAATGCAGAGGGGAGGGGAAGATATGCTTGATGGTAGCATCCTACTGGAGGTAGCAGAAATAGCAGAGAGTAATTCTTTGAATGTGGAGACAGTGAGGGTAGGTGGGGGTGGGGGGTGGTGGAGGTGGGGTGATAACAAGATGAAACCCTATCATTCTTCTCAGCTGGAGGGGACGGGTTGAGGGCAGAAGTGTGGGAAGTGGATTGGACACGGCTGAAGGCCCTGTCAACTACAAAGGCAGGTGTGGGGGACTGGAACCCATGGTCAAGGAAAAAGGAGAATATGTCAGAAGCACCCCTGTGGAAGGTGGCATCATTGGAACAGATGTGGGGGAGATGGAGGAACTCGGAGACTAAGATGAAAGCCTCGCAGGAAGCAAGGTGTGAGCTAGTGTGGTTGAGGTAACCGTGGGAGACGCTGGGTTTTTATTGGATGTTGATGAACAACCTAACCCCAGAAATGAAAACAGCGAAGTCAAGAAAAGGAGGAGAAAAGTCAGAGATGGATCAGGTGAATGTGAGGCACTTTACAGTCTCTAGGACTCAATATTGAATTCTACAAATTCACAGGCTGACCCCATGACATCAGTTCTCCACTTTCCTTATGTTTCACACCCCCCACCCCCAGCATCAGCACACCTCCCATACCTCCTCCACCACCTGTGTCACAGACTTGTTCACTGTGTTCTTAGCCAAAAAGATCCATTTTTTCCCCTTTCACTGCTTAATTTGCGGTCATTTCAAATCTCTGTTTCTCTTTCACCTCAAATGTTAAGTCTGTTTCTCCCACTACAGATGATGCCGGGCCTGCTGATTTTCACCAGCATACTCTGTGTGCTAAGCCAAATAATATCTTCACAGCAGCCCCCTCACTGAGATCAACTAAGTAGGCATTAAATAGTTCAACTTCTTGTTAGAGATGAGGGTAATATCACAAAAGCAAGATTCAAGCTTCATTGTTAAAGGATAATGTCAGTAAATGCAAATAATTTCTGAGTAAACCCCACCATTTGTTATACATTTCATAGCTTGATTCTTTGTTGCTTTTAAAAAAAGGTTAACAGTTGTTGATTTTACATGGGCTAGTCAGTCTGCAATATAAGCAGACTGATAAATGTCACCTCAATGCTGTAAGATACTATTGCTAATTTTGCTAACAGAAGTTTCTAAACTTCTCTGCCTTGAATATCAATGAAAAATTAAGATGTTAGTTGAAACTTGAAACAATAATTATGTATACAGATATTCAGGAGCTATCCATGTGCAGTTTTCAAATCCTACTTACCTTATTTTGCACAGGGTCATAATCAAGCGCAAAGACTCTGCCCATTTGTCTTTCCAGCACAATATGGTAATCTGTTCCATCAAAGTTTATGCGCCTTATGTCCTGGCTATTTGCAAATAATAAAAATGGTCTGGGACCTGTTAAATACAAATTGGCATTATTTTCTGTATGAGTTCAAAATGAAGGTCATCCACTACCAGAGCCAAAAAAAAGTCACATAAAACAAAGGTCTCCAGCCCAAATTACAACAGGGAGCATAAACATCCAGGCTCAGAGACCATAGGAGTGAATCATAGAATCCCTACAGTGTGGAAGCAGGCTACTCAGCCCATCGAGTCCACACTGACCCACTGAAAAGCATCCCACGCCCCCTCCATACTTGTAACCCTCTCTTTGCCATGGCTAATCCACCTAGCCTGAACACTATGGGCAATTTAACATGACCAGCCTAACCTGCACATCTTTGGACTGTGGAAGGGAACCGGGGCACCCAAAGGAAACCCATGCAGGCACAGGGAGAAAGTGCAAACTCCATACAGATAGAGGCTGGAACTGAACCATGGTCGCTCGTGCTGTATGGCAGCAGTGCTAACCATCAAGCCACTGTGCTGCCCCAAATCTTGGCTACAGTTTTCATAAAGGCTCCCATTTGGTTAAAAGAACTATCAACAATCGTGGTTTAGAAACCTGAGAACCAATGGTCAAGAAAGATGAAGAGGGACAACGCATTACAGTAACAGTGACGAAGAGTTTAAATTGTGGTCAGCAAACCTAATAGGAGGTATGTAAACACAGACCTGTGGGAAAGATGGACAAGAATTTGAAGGGGACAACAAAGTGTTCTTCAGCGAAAACCCACAAAAAAGATTCAAGATTGAGCAGTAGTTTGCAGGGACAGAGGGTTAGAAAGTAAATGTTCGTCTTGAGAGTGGGGGAGGAGCGAAGATGGGAATTTTGAAAGAGAGGCAGACAACAAGACAATACGCAAGGAAAATTAACCATTTAGACTTTTAACCCACCCGGGGGTGGAGTGGAGGGAGGGCAGGAGAGGGTAGACACAATATAATGTAGTTGCTTAGCATGGAATAGCATGAAGGGAGCAAGAATCAAGTCTCATGGACAAGGTAAGCTTGAGAGAAGACAAGAGAAAGAATAGGTTATTTTACAAGTCCCCTCCTCATTTGCAGTTTATTTAGTCTGTTGGCATAGTGATATTTGTGAACTTGCTATAATTTTTTAGAATTGAAATTAATTTTTGCTGTACGTTCCCAGTGTGCAAAGTCCACGCTCTGATTACAAATTTGTAAACTTACTCTATGTTTCTACTGATTGATTCTTTTCTATTAACTGGTTGTTGAGAGAGCATTTTGAGTTGCAAATACTTGATCAAAGTCCTTCCCCATTAATGTTCATTGAGAATTCATAACTTACTGAAACTCTTAACATTTGGAATTAATATTGACCTGAGGCAGCGCAGTGCTGCCCATCAAGTTGTAGCTGATAACCAGGCAGACATTCACATTTCCAAGATACTGGATTCTGCAGTACACAGATCTGGCCACAGCCACCATTATCTGGCGCAGTGCAACCTGAAAAGAAATAGATCAGATCATCGAATCACTCGTTATTTAACAATGCTCACTATTAATTCTTACAGAGATAGTAGGAACTGCCGATGCTGGAGAATCTGAGATAACAAGGTGTAGAGCTGGATGAACACAGCAGGCCAAGCAACATCAGAGGAGCAGGAAAGCTGACGTTTCAGGTCTAGACCCTTCTTCAGAAATGGGGGAGGGGGAGGGGAAGGGGGTTCTGAAATAAATAGGGAGAGAGGGGGAGGCGGATAGAAGATGGATAAAGGAGAAGATAGGTGGAGAGGAGACAGACGAGTCAAGGAGGCAGGGTTGGAGCCAGTAAAGGTGAGTTAGGGAGGGGATAGGTCAGTCCAGGGAGGACGGACAGGTCAAGGAGGCGGGATGAGGCTAGTAGGGAGGAGATGGGGGTGGGGCTTGAAGTGGGAAGACTGGATAGGTGGGAGGACAGGTTAGGGAGGCGGGTATGAGCTGGGCTGGTTTTGGGATGTGGTTGGGGGAGGGGAGATTTTGAAGCTTGTGAAGTCCACATTGATACCATTGGGCTGCAGGGTTCCCAAGCGGAATATGAGGTGCTGTTCCTGCAACCTTCAGGTGGCATCGTTGTGGCACTGCAGGAGGCCCAGGATGGACATGTCATCCAACGACTGGGAGGGGGAGTTGAAATGGTTCGCAACTGTGAAGTGCAGTTGTTTGTTGCAAACCGATCGTAGGTGTTCCACAAAGCGGCCCCCAAGCCTCCGTTTGGTTTCCCCGATGTAGAGGAGGCCACAACGCAAACAGCGGCTACAGTATACCACATTAGCAGATGTGCAGGTGAACATCTGTTTGATGTGGAAGGTCTTCTTAGGGCTGGGATGGGGGTGAGGGGGGTAGGTGCAGGGGCAGGTGTAGCACTTCCTGCGGTTGCAGCGAAAAGTGCCGGGTGTGGTGGGGCTGGTGGGGAGTGTGGAGCGGACACGGGAGTCACGGAGAAAGTGGTCCCTCCAGAAAGCAGATAAGGGTGGGGAGGGAAAAATGTCTTTGGTGGTGGGGTCGGATTGCAGATGGCGGAAGTGTCGGAGGATGATGTGTTGAATCCGAAGGTTGGTGGGGTGGTATGTGAGGACAAGGAGAATTCGATTTTTGTTGTTATTGCGGGGAGGGGGTGTGAGGGATGAGATGCAGGAAATGCGAGAGACACGGTCGAGGACATTTTTGACCACTGTGGAGGGGAAGTTGCGGTCCTTGAAGAACGAGGACATCTGGGATGTCCGGGAGTGGAATGCCTCATCTCGGGAGCAGATGCGGCTGAGGCGATGGAATTGAGAATAGGGGATGGCCTTTTTGCAGGAAGGTGGGTGAGAGGAGGTGTATTCTAGGTAGCTGTGGGAGTCGGAAGGCTTGAAATGGATATCGGTTTCCAGGTGGTTGCCAGAGATGGAAATAGAGAGGTCCAGGAAGGAGAGAGAAGTATCGGAGATGGTCCAGGTGAACTTAACGTTGGGGTGGAAGGTGTTGGTGAAGTGGATGAACTGTTCGAGCTCCTCGTGGGAGCATGAGGCGGTGCCAATACGGTCATCGATGTAACGGAGGAAGAGGTGGGGTTTAGGGCCGGTGTAGGTACGGAAGAGGGATTGTTCCACGTATCCGACAAAGAGGCAGGCATAGCTTGGGCCCATGCGGGTACCCATGGCTACCCCCTTTGTCTGTAGGAAGTGGGAGGAATTGAAGGAGAAGTTGTTAAGGGTGAGGACAAGTTCAGCTAAGCGAATGAGGGTGTCAGTGGAGGGGGACTGGTCAGGCCTGCGGAACAGGAAGAAGCGGAGGGCCTTTACACCATCTGCACAGGGAATGCAAGTGTATAGGGACTGGACGTCCATGGTAAAGATGAGGTGTTGGGGACCAGGGAATCAGAATTTTTGGAGGAGGTGGACGGCGTGGGTGGTGTCACGGACATAGGTGGGGAGTTCCTGGACCAAGGGGGAGAAGATGGAGTCGAGATAAGTGGAGATGAGTTTGGTGGAGCAGGAGCAGGCGGAGACAATGGGGCGACCAGGGCAGTCAGGTTTGTGGATTTTGGGAAGGACATAGAAACGGGCCATGCGGGGTTGGGGAATGATGAGGTTGGAGACCGTGGGTAGGAGGTCACCTGAGGCAATGAAGTTGTGGATGGTCTGGGAGATGATGGTTTGGTGCTCGGGGGTGGGGTCATGATCAAGGAGGTGGTAGGAGGAGGTATCAGAGAGTTGACGCCTGGCCTCGGTGATGTAGAGGTCAGTGAGTCATACTACAACTGCACCTTCTTTGTCCGCAGGTTTTATGGTGAGGTTGGGGTTGGAGTGGAGGGAGCAGAGGACTGCACGTTCTGTGGGGTAGAGGTTGGAGTGGGTGAGAGGGGTGGAGAGGTTAAGGTGATCGATGTCTCCGACTGCCGTCATGACCTTTCAATACAATCATGGCCAAACGAACACTTCAATGCCATTTACTCACCCTATCCCCATAACCCTGTATGCTATTGGTAATCAAAAATCTATCAATCTCTACCTGAAACATACTCAGACTGAGCTTCTGTCTGTGAGAGACAATTCCAAAGGTTCGCAACACTGAGTAAAAACAAGAATTTTCATCTCGGATCTAAGTGGCAACACCCTTATCTTCCCCTGGTTCTCGACTCCCCAGCTGGGGGAAACAGCTTATCTGCATCTACCCTGTCTATCCCTTTCAGTAATTTGCAGCATTCTGTAGGATCACATCTCATTCTTCGAAATTCTAGAGAATACAGACCCAGCTTGCCAAATCTCTTTTCAAAGGACAGTCCCATCATCCCAAGAACAAATCTGGTGAACTTTTGCTGCACTTCCTCAATGGCAATATAATCTTTCCAGAGACAAGGAGCCCATGTTACTCCAGGTGCAGTCTAACCAAGCTCCGAAACAATTGAAGCAAGACTTTGTTACTCCCGTTCTCAAATCTTCTGATGACAAAGCCTAACATTCCATTAATAAAGTTAGTATGCTATTGCAACAAGTTTACCACATCTCCAGAAAACCATTAGTTATCTAAATTGAAAATTATTGGCTTGCTGAGTATGAAAAAAAACTCACTTTTATGTACAGAAATAAACAGGAATTGGAAAAGATCAGTGTTTAAAAGCACATTTCACTACCTCCAATTCCCCTGTTAATTTTGTCTTTGCCAAATGCCTTTCAAGCTCCCTCTTCAAATTACGGATGTTATCAGCCTCAATTTCCTCTGGTTGTCAATGGTATGACTATTTGCAGGGGAGATTTACAAAGAAAGGTTCATTCAGCAACAAATTCAATAGAAATAATCAAGATGGAAAATATCATTTTAATATTTTCAGCCTATTTCTTTATCAAATTTTCCTTTCTCCTGTTGGAAACCCATGGACACTCCCCTGCATCTCTTTACTGCGAGAGTGGTTCATTTAGTTCTGTTTGGAATCCTTCATTTATGTCAGTATTGAACTTTCTAAATAGTGCCAAATGGAAATGAGATTTTTTTTGGAGTGTCTTTTCGAACAGTTTAATAGATTAAAAACTTACGGAAGAGTAAAGATGATATTGGCTCATACTTTTCCTCTGAAATAAAGAAAATGGCATTCACCATTATTACTGATGTGCGACTACTACTGCACCCTCAGCTGAGGACAGGTGCACTGTTAAATATGGAAACTTAACTGTTGCTGTCGAAGACGTGTTCCAGTATCAGTAGATTTGTGAAAACAGCAGCTCACTGTTTGTCTCACCATTAAAATTCATTAAATGGCATATGATTGCAGTATTTGTGTACTAATCATGAACTAAATTCATCACCCAATTTTCAAAATGGTGGAGACAGCAGGGTAGGACATGTTTGGGCTCCCAACCCGTCCACTCCCTCTTGCATGACTGACTGCAACTTTCATTCTTTTTTTTAAACTTTACTTTTCTTCATTTAACTTTTGAATCAAATCCATCTTTTCCTTCTTTCTGCAGCTGCGGTGGTGGAGAGGGGTTGCAGGGAGCTGTTGATTGGTGGATTCAGTCTATTTCTTGTGGCAATGGTGGTTGCGGATTGAACAACGGTTCCAGTGTCGATGAATTGAGGTTCATTGTTTTCTTCTGACATGTTGGCAGCGTCTGCAACGGCGACGGGGCGAATGATCCCTCGGTCCTTGGGAGTTTATTGGGATGGTCAGTCGGTTGAGATGGGCCCTGGTCCTGGAGAGCTGGCTATGACGGCGACTGGAGTATCGGCAGCAGTGGAGGGGCTTTGGTGGAGGCGACGTTCTGGATGCAGTCAGCGGCCGCCGGGTGTTTTGCTTCACCGTGCTTCTTCCTTGGTGTTACGCCCTCAGGGGCAGATTTGATGGCTGCAGAAAGTGGCAGCATCTCGTAGCCTCTCAATAAATCAAGAAGACGTGTATGGAACGATAAATGAAATTTGTCCTGACTTTGTATGATTTATTTCTTTTAATGATTTATGCAATTAAAATGGCGCCAGCTTATGGCGGTTGATACACATTTTGCTACATTTTTATAAATACATGTAACAATAAATTACTATTACTCATCCTGCTACATTAAAAGTTAAATCTTGCCACTTCAATCTCAGTAGCCTTTTTTTCAGTACACTGGCTATGGCCAGCCAGCTTGGAGTCAGTCCCTAGAATGAGGGGGCTCTCTGAATCTCTTGTTTATTTCTCTTTTTTTTGTGGTTGTGTGCGCACTGTCTTAGCAAAAACATACCACTGTGCAAAACACTTTATTAAATATTCCCACCACCAGGAAAAACACCCGTGTGGCTAGCAAACCAATCACAAGCAAAGCCCAATAAGGGCCATGCTTACTCAGTGGCCTTTTAATGATGTGAGAGGCATTAATTGTTGCCAAATTAACTATCTGTCATGGAAAATCAATTCTCATCAGCGTGGAGTCACATTGCTTCATCTTTTCAATGCTCGTTGTGATTTTTAAAATGTAACATTTAGAACAAAGAAAGAACAAGGAACAATACAGCACAGGAACAGGCCTTTTGGCCCTCCAAGCCTGCGCCGACACATTTTGCCCTCCCGTACTAAAACTGTCTTCACTTACAAGATCCATATCCCTCTATTCCCTTCCTATTCATGTATTCGTTCAGGTGCTTCTTGAATGTTGCTATTATGTCTGTTTCCACCACTTCCTCTGGCAGTGCGTTGCCTTTGTGTGAAAAACGCGCCTCGCACATCTCTTTTAAACTTTTCCCCTTGCACCTTGAACCTGTGTCCACTAGTAATTGACCCCTCCACTCTGGGAAAAAGCCTTATACTTTCCACTCTATATCATTCACAATCTTATGAATTTCTATCAGGTTTCCCCTCAACCTCCTGCATTCCAGTGAAAACAAACCCAGTCTATCCAACCTTTCTTCATAGCTAAAATCTCCCATACCAGGCAACATCCTTGCAAACCTTTTCTGTACCCTCTCCAAAGCATCCACATCCTTCTGGTAGTGTGGTGACCAGAACTGTATGCAGTAGTCCAAGTGTGGCCTAACTAAAATTCTACGAAGCTGGAACATAACTTGTCTATCCTTATACTCAATACCCCCTCCAATGAAGGCCAGCATGCCATAGCCTTTTTTTAAAAACCAACTTAACTACCTGCGCTGCCACTTTCAGTGAGCTGTTGACCTGTACACCCAAATTACTCTGCATATCAATACTCCAAAGGATTCTGCCATTCACTGTACAATTTTCACCTGTATTTGACCTTCCAAAATGTATCGCCTCACGTTTGTGTCTCAATTAAACTAGAGTATAATTAAAACTTTTCCTCTCTGTCTCTCTTTTTCTCCACCTTGATCTATTTTTTCTCAACCTTTCTCTATCTTCTTGAATATTGAATTCAGATTTGAATTTACCCATTCTGACATACACAACCTTCTCAGATATTATTCTGTGAATTCCAAATTCTTCAATCTTCAGACTAAGGAATTGCTTGCCCTGTTCGCTCAGGTTTCAGGTGGTTTGGTTTCATTTTTGCAACATCATTAGCTCTAACATTCAGAATTATCCATACAAAACATTTAAAAACCTGTTTTCTTTCTGCTCATTGATTGACGATAAGTGATTAATCTTTATTATGGCTTCTTAGCGTTCCCAGTTTTGATGTGATCTGTGTACACAATATGATGGAGAACCCAAAAACATTTTGGTATGTGTTTCTTGGTTGGTGTATAAGCAAAGTGGCTCCTTGACTGTAACAGTTTGAGTCTGTTCTATTCATGACAAAAATTCCTTATGCCAGGCTGGATTTATAAAAGGAAATTTATCATTTTGATTTTGTTTGCCTCATTAGCTTACTATTTAATACTTCAAGAAAACCAAGGCATATGTATTCTAATTAATCACTTACACATGAATTGTAATTCATTCAAACTCTGCAAGTCCCAAGGATAAAAATATTTTGATCAATTTTGCAGAAATTATAATGAAATACTTCACATCAGTTTTATGTGTTTAAGGCCTTAATGGGGTTATTACTTATTGATAGTCAAACACATAGGATATTTTTTCCACTTCATTGAACAAATGTTTTTTAAAACATTTTGCCTTCTCAGGTTGTACCTGAACATGTTTTTCCATCAGATCCTAAAATAGATCCTGGTGGACAGACACAGATTGGTCCTTTGGATGTCTGGATGCAATCATGGCTACATTCGGTGTAATTTTCCAAACAAGGAATAGGATCTGGTGAATACAAAACAATAGAATAGCAATGAAATCAGCATTATTGGAGTATCAGTAATGTTGTCTTTATAAAATACAATTTTACATTATTACTCCTGCAATTGTGTGATACTGGGATCACAGTCAGTTAAGGAACCATCTCCTTCCTGATCACCTCCACTTCTACTGGGGTTTTCCAATGGAAGTACCAGGGGGCGATTGAATACTCTTGAGCGCTTTTGAAGGATTTTTATTGTACTGCAAGAGCATTGGAACATCTTTATGCCATTTTTTAGTGTTTGCTTTGTTTCAAGAATGAGACTTTTCATTTTACTTGAAAGGGTATTGATAGATTTGGGAGAAAGGTTAAATGGAGTTTAGGCATGGATCAGCCATGAGCTGTGTGAAGTGAAGACCAAGGTCATGTGCTGTAGAACAGAGAGACCTAGGCGTTCAGGTACATAATTCTGTGAAGTTTGCACCACGTATAGATAGGGTGGCTAAGGAGTCACTTAGCATCCTTGCCTTCATTGCTCAGACCTTTCAGTATAGGAGTTAAGATGTTATGCTGACGTTGTACGGGATGTTGGCGAGGCCTCTTCTGGAGTACTGTTTCCAGTTCTGGTCTCCCGGATATAGGAAGGATATTATTAAGCTGGAGAGGGTTCAGAAGAGATTTACCAAGATGTTGCCGTGAATGGAGGGTTTGAGTTACAAGGATAGGCTGGGACTATTTTCACCAGAGCATAGATGGTTAAGGGATTTATAGAAGTTTATAAAATCATGAGGGGTACAGAAAAGGTGAATGGCAGGTGTCTTTTCCCTAGAGTTGGGAATTTCAAGCCGAGAACATATTTTTAAAGGTGACAGATGAAAGATTTAAAAAATTTTTTTTACACAGAGAGTGGCTAGTGTGTGGAATGAACTTCCAGAGGGTGGTGGATACTGGTTTAAACAATGTTCAAAAGATATTTAGATAAGTACATGAGAAATGCTTGGAGGGATATGGGCCAAGCATGGGCAGGTGGGACCAGTTTAGTTTGGGATTATGGTCGGCCTGAAGGGTCTGTTTCCGCGCTGTATGACTCTTTGACTCTATGGCTGCATGGTCCAGTCCTATTACTGTAGCTGCAATTCTGTATTAAACAGATAATAATCTTAGATTTTTCTATGTGTTAAGGAAGGTTGTGTTTTATCATTTATTTCCTTTAAATAATGTTACTTTACATCATTGGAATGAGTTAAATATCCACACCAAGTTCTCCATTATAACTTACTGCCATTCTTCTATACCTATATACATCAAACAACAATATACTGCATTCAAGCAGTTACAACAATTACGACTTGTCACTGAACGCTGACCACATTAAAAATATCATAACTGGCCCAATATATAGATTGTCAAGAGGATGAAACAGCTAAAACCGAAATATACTCTTGTAAAGGTAGAATTTTGGAGACCAAATATTTAACCATTTAGTAGGTGGGTCAGCTTGCATATGAGTAATATTTCTGCAGAGTTAAAATTGACCGTCTCCCATTGCCTTGTGACCTAATTGTTCGAAATTGTCCACCAGCAGATTGCCAGGTCAGAAACTGTTCCCACCAACACTGCCCCCATGCTGGTGCAATAGGGACCATTATTATTCTATAGAAACATGAGGAGCTGAACAGTTGTCTTTGAATGAATAGATTAGCACCGCAGTGAGTTTGACTCACTGTAGTAAGTAAGCAGTAAATCTAAGCATAAAATGTGATTCCCAGTATATTCCAAAATTCAAACTTTTTTTTATAGTATTAAACTGACCACAAAAGACTGATGAAGTATGGCTGCATGTGGATCACTGACTTCTCTATTGGATGGAAGCCACTCCCACAACGCAAGAGGGAATTTAAGGATCCTTCCAAACTGAAGTGTGCTCAAAGATAACACAGTGTGGAGCTGGAGGAACACAGCAGGCCAGACAGCATCAGAGTTCTTGATATCTCTGAAGTGGGCTCAATACCTTTTCCTGATACTAATTCAAAAGGGTATTATAATTTGAATTGGTCTTTCAAATGCAAATACTTCGGTGGTCTGAAATTCTCAAGGTGTGAAATCCACAACGCAGGATGTACAATTGACCTAACTACCCATCTTGTTTGGGAAGGAATTTGAACTTGTGAACATCACATGATACATGTGAGGAAGCCATTTTATTGTCTGCTTTTAAATGAAGCTGCTCTTCAGGCAAAGTTCCTCCAAATCCCATTGAATCCACTACACCAATCCAAGTTGCCAATAATCAACAATTACATGAAAGTGTGAGAAGGAAAACCCTTAAATCTGTTTCAACTAAGAATTTAATTGACACCTAACTTTCTGGATAGTGAATTCTGAGCAGGCTCACAACTTACTGAGAATCATCTGATTTACAAAATCACCCCTCATATCAACTCATATAAGAAACCCACAGGCCTTCCACAAAAGAGATAATTATAAGTTGTAATCGTATTGTTTTACCTTCACTTGTATCTAACCTACGTCCGTGTGAGGCAAATGAGACATGTTTTAATTATCTGGAACTAGTATATTGTAGTTAAAACTCACAAAATGCTTGGTCCTGGTACTATTTAATTGAGACAATCACCCTGAGGGTAAAAACACACACATACCTTACATGCAGCGCACTGATCACGGGTGATGGAAAGGAACTCACAACATCTGTCTGTGACAAAACAGTTTCGAGTTTTTTGGCTAAAGGTAATGAGTCAATGTTTGTACAAGCTCAACTGTTACTCAACTATATAAAGTAAAGCAATTTGATTATTTGTGATTATTGTGATATTTTGCTTTGGCGCGGTTCCTTGTGTTAAAAGTGCAATACACAGACAAGTTGCTATGAATAATATATTGACATATTGTAGTTGAGAATTATAGCTGCCTCTGAACTTGAACAAAATTATTCCTGGATAGTCTATATTGAGGTCTCTCTTATTACAGCTGTAAAGGCAAATTAAAGGAAAAGCATCAGAAATAAGATAATAATGACACAAAGATAGGTGGAGCGACAGGTAGTATTGAGGAAGTGGGGCAATTGCAAAATGACTTGGACATACCAGGAGAGTAGGCAAAGAGGTGGCAGATGGAATATAATGTGGGAAAGTGTGATATTATGGCACTTTGGTAGGAAGAGTAGAGGTGGAGACTACTTTCTAAATGGGGAAAGGCCTCAGAAATCTGCAGCAAAAGGGGACATCGGAGTCTGAGTTCAAGATTATTTTAAGGTTATTATTCAGGTTCTGTTGACAGTTAGGGTAGTAAATACAATGTTAGCATTCATGTCAAGAGGGCTAGAATACAACAGCAGGGATATACCTCTGAGGCTGTATAAGGTTCTGGTCAGACTGCAGTTGGAATATTATGAGCAGTTTTGGGCCCTATATCTAAGGAAGGATGTGCTGGCCTTGGAGAGGGTCCAGAAGAAGTTCATTAGATTGTCCCCGAGGATGAAGGGCTGGTCATATGAGGTGTTGTTGAGGACTCTGCGTTTGTACTTAATGGAGTTTAGAAGGATAAGAGGGAATCTCATTAAAACTTACAGAATACTGAGAGGCATGGATAGAGTCGAGGTGGAGAAGATGTTTCTAGTAGGAGAGACTAGGACATGAGGGCAGTGAAGGGACAACCACTTAGAACTGAGATGAAGAGGAATTTCATCAACCAGAGGCTGCTAAATCTTTAGAAATAATTTCAACAGAGGCTGTGGAGGCCAAGTCATTGAGTGTATTTAAGACAGATAGATATGTTCTTGATTAGTAACCAAGAACAAGAACTAAAAGTTACAGACAGAAGACAGGACAAAGGTGTTGAAAGACATATCGGCCATGATCGAATAGTGGAGCAGACTTGATGGGCTGAATGACCTAATTCTGCTCCTATAACCTATAGCCTTATGGTCTATATTAGAACTTTTTCTTTTGAATACACACCACTAATTTTATTTTGACACAAGTATTGATATTTATTAACATATGCTCAATTAAAAGTCACATCAAATCTACAATCACCTACAATCACATATTTTCATAGCATCTTTAAGCAACAAATCAGTTGAAAGTATTTTACTGGTGATGGTCAGATCTAAGTAAAAATGGAGGCAAAATAGCCATGGATGTTAGAACTACAAAAGAGGTAGGTTTCAAAGAGTTCTGAAGAAGTCAAAACAGACTTGAAGTGTAAATTCCATTTTTCTCTCCACAGATGCTGCCAGATCTGCTGAGTCTCCGCAACACTTTCTGTTTTTATTTCAGAGGTCCAGCATCTGCAGTATTTTATTTTTATTCCAATACAAGTAAGTTCTTCAATGTCAATACTTTTTAAAAGATCCTTTCACAGAAGGTGTACCTTGCTGGCCAAGCCAGCAGTTTTGCCAATCCCTAATTCCTCTGGAGAAGGTGAGCTGCCTCCTTGAACAGTTACAGGCCTTGCAGTGTTGGGACACCCACAGTGCAAATAATATCTGTCCTAGACATTGAAAGTTCTGGAATCCATGAACAATGCAGAGATTAATTTAAAGAAAATGACATTTTGTGAAATTCTTCAAAAGTTACTGGAGATACAAGAGTCAATGGATTGAATGTTCCTACCCTTTCTGTTCATAGATTTTCATTCAGAAACAAAACCTTACCATGACAAGTTTTCATATCAGGCAGCAGTACAAAGCCTTCTGGGCAGTAGCAGCGATAAGAGCCTGGAAAGTTCTCACAGCCTAGAGTGCAGCCATGGTTCCAAAAGGCACATTCATTGACATCTGAATATACAGAGATACATGCATCAGAGGAAAGAGAAACTGTATGTTGTATTTGGAGCTAATAAAAAAAATTACAATGTAAATGGCTATAAGGAAAGAATGAATGTAATTGGACAGCTTTTTCAAAGAGCTAGCATAGAGATGATAGGCCAAATGATATCATTCTGTACTGTATGATCCTAGGTTGGAATATAATATGGCAGTAGATCTCACTATCTGCACTCTTCCTAATTCCATACTGCTGTTTCACTTAGCCTTAAGTAAAATCAGTGACGAGAAACCATCTTGAAGTGTCACTGAAAACTTGCTTCATGCAAGCGATCATGCACCAGTTGAAAGGCCCAAGAAAATTGTAAATTATAAACATATTTAAAACTAGCCAAATCAAAGATGCCTGTGATAGATATAACAGAGTGTGAAACTGGAGGAACACAACTCCTGCTCCACACTGTGTTATCTCTGACTCCAGCATCTACAGATCTTACTATTCCAAAGATGCCTGTGTTGGCTTTGATGACCTTTGTGGGAGAGATGTGTTGAATATATTTTACAAAGGAGTGTTCTACAGATATATTCTAAATAACACTACCACTGCAGAGAACAAAATCTAAACCTAAAGCATTTTTCCCAAAAGTGTGGATTTTACATATTCATACAAACAGTTTACTTCCCCACAACTAGTAGTAGCATCCATATGAGAAAAGGTGATCTGTTTAGTCACGGTAGACTGATAAACGAGGAAGTATAATGGGAGATGTTCTGCTTTGATATTTCTAGCACATCCTTTCCCTGCAAATTGCATAGCCCAGTCAAAATTAATGGTTGAAATATGTTTGGACATGTTAGAATTCTCAGATATGTGCTTCCAACATTTGGAGTGTGGAAACAAAGGTTCTCCCTCCTATTTCAAATGCACATCTCATAAACATAAACGTTCAATTCATGTGTGGATACCAACATAGAAATACAAACATTACATTTATACCAGAAATGGTTTTTAAGATGGAAAAATTTACTCAAGTTTCATGTAAAGCACTATACAACATATAATGTGAACATACATGCACATGAAGACAGCATATGGACATGGAATTCTGCCAAGTCAGAATGATTTAGGAATCTTTTAAAAATGGAAGAAGTGTCCTGATTCCCAGGCTTTCTGATTTTTAGCAAGGCCTTTAAACGTTTGAGCTGGCTGAGGTTGCAAGCCTGCATCTGACACTCCTGTGGCTTTATTGCAGCAATAAGAATATCCTTATGCTCCAAAATTTTCATGGAGTCAGGCTAGCATTGTAAAAAAGTCTTGGCTTAGAGCATCTCAGAGGCATAATGAACCATATTCTGCATGAGCTTTGAAAGCTGATTTCGGAGAGTTTTCCTCATCTTCTGATGCTAAGCTATGCTCCGCTGTGCCCTCCACCCAACCCCATGGTCCTTCTTTCCTCATTGCCAAGCTATGGCACTTCCAGTGTAGGGGTTCTGGTTTGCGATCGGTAATTTGCTGATTTTTAGGTGGTTCGAATCACCCCCTAGATCCCTGGTTCTGACACTGGACTTATTTAGGGAATGTGAAATGAAGAAGGCAGTAGACAGGTGTTTCAGGGCAAAATAATCTCTGTGTTTATTAAATACAAAAAGGTGAATATATTAAAACAAATAAAGGCAAATACAAAACAGTGAAATTGACACTATCAATTATATACAGGACAGTACTTAAATATACTATTAAACACATGTTAAACACTATTAGAAGCTAAACAGTAGTTTTAATCACGGAAAATTTGATCTGGCTTTCTATCCTTGGAGTCTCTGCACTGTTACCATCTACCTTTTTCCTCCCTGCGAGCTAGGTTAGATACTTTGGTGTCTCGAGAATATAAGCTCATCACTGGGGATAAACGCGATTTTGAAATGCAGTTGGCCATTCCTGTTTGCCATAGCTGGTGCCTTGAGGAAGACTTCGGACGGTGTAGGCCTTCCGTCTGTGTTGACGTCGCTGGTGCGGTAGGACGCATTTTGGATTTATCGGGTGAGTACTTTGTTTCTCTTTGTAGTTTTGCGAGCCAGTTTTCAGCTCAGGATGTGTCTGAGGCCTTGTCAGTTGGGTCAATGGTTTTCGGAGGTCATCAGTTGTCAGATCTGCTGGTCGTGGTCGGTTGCTGTTCATTGCCCTGGTATGGAACAGGCCTATGTCAATAGGTTTCGAGGAGACAGCTGTGCAGATATCTCTGGGGGGAGAGTAGCTGTCTGGGATCCCTCTTCTGGACATGGTTGTGGGGATGGCTCTTGGGGCGATAACTCTTTCGGATCCCTCTCCTCTGGGTAGCTATGGGGATAGCTCTTTTTGGTGAGGTCTGGGCCTACAATGAAACTAATTGTGGCTCTCTTATCTTCACGCCAAATCTGTGCTTGCATTGTGTTGCTGCTTTTCCTTTTAAGGCAATTGACGTCCTGATGGTTAACACTGTGTGTGAACGTGCGTTGTTTGAGGTTGAATGCCTGATATCTCTATGAATGAATATTGATTGAAGTTGAATCAATACCTGTACAGGCTTTATTTTGTCTGTGTTGATGTAGCTCGAAGTGCAAAAGTTAGTTTCAGTCTAGAGTATGAGGCCTGATTAATTGTTCTCTTAGAGTCAAGGTGTGAATTGGATTTTCGACTGTGCAATGGCTCCAAGCAGTTATCCCTGTCTGTGTAATTTTCTCAAAGCATGGCTGCTTTTTTTTTTTTAAACTTTGAAAAGTTATTTGTAAAGTCCAGGATTTTGGTCCAGTATTTCAGAATATGGGGATATTTACTCAATCTTAAACCAGGTTCATTGACCCACAATACACCATGTAGATCTAATGAACCATATAGTGACAATGTTATGTGTTTTAAAAAGGTAATTCATTCATTGTTACATATTATATTAAATATGTCAGTTCATTGCAATGCAGTGGAAGTATCAATCATTCAGGACCTTTAAAGTATCAATAGCAGAAACTGCTAGCGCTTGAAACCTTTATGAAGATAGACATAAATAAGCAGTGTGCAAGTAATAGCAAAGATCGGAGACAGAGCTGTCTCATGCCGGGTCTGTAACCAGCAGATCAGAACCCCCCAGTGCTTCAACAAGATGCTACCCATAATGTGAGAGAAGATACAGGCAGCACAGATTTGCATTACCAAAAGTCAATGAGGGGTTGAAGATAGATCAGCCGGGAATGGATGGGAATAGTGAAGTCTAGAGGTAATGGTGTCATAGGTGATAGTTTCAACAGCACTCGAGCTGAGGCAAGGTCAGAGTCAGATGAGGTTACAAAGGTAAAAGAAGATAGTCTTAGTCATTTAATAGATAAATGGCCCAAAGTACACCTTGGGATCAAGCACAACACCAAAGTTGTAAACAGTCATGTTAATTTCAGAAAATTGCCAGTTGATAGCGCATAGTTTACCTTCACAGGAATTCTGATCATCACTCAGAACAAAGCCATCTTTACACTCACAGCGATCTTCTGGGTCTTTTTTGCAGATGTTTCCATTGCTCCTTTCTGCAGAAAAGGATAACAGAAGCGGAAACGAGACAATGTTAAATATTCATTAATAACAGAGTAACTATCTGCAGTATTCAAATTTTCCTTTTAATAAATGTCAAGGTAATAGAAATTGAGATCTTAGGGATGAATTTTCAGAAGTGCGTTTTATGTGCCAATATGGTAGCATATCAAGAAATTGTTGCAAGCCTCCAAACCATTCAAAATTGCTTTTCCTGTATCTTTGAAAGATATTACAGCTTGCAAATGAAGGGTTGTGGAATACAACTTGATTTTCAACTTAATAATTACTCATTTAAAATCTATTTACCAATCCGCAATTTTGCCACTCAAGACAGATGTTCTGTTAATTGTGATGATGTAGATTGGTCATTTGCCTGCCTTTCCAGTGAATATTTTCAATAAGCACTGGTTGAAACAACGTGGACCCAGACTGCTTGAAGATTTTTTTTTTTTTAAATCTAATGGAAATTCAAATTGTACGATCCAGCTATTCTTATTCACAACTGAATCATTTCAGACAGGGAATCAACACTTTTGTTGCTGTTGCAACATTTCCTTTTCTGATGCAGCCCCGTAAAAGCTGCTCACATTGCCATATTTAGGAATTTACAACCTAATGCATGGGAGATCATACCCCCGTTACCTGTAGACCAGCAGATGAGATGGTTGCTATTGCATTACAAAGCAAATAGAATTGCTCTGACATAGACAGCTGCACTTTGGACAAACCAACATTATTTTTCCCTCACCCACATATTCCCCAAAGCCTGTCCACCATCTACAAGGCACACGTCAGAAGTATGATGGGATACTCCCAACTTGTCAGGATGACACAGCTCCCACACGCTTAAAAAGCTTGATACTATCCAGAACAAAGCAGCCTTGGCACCACATCCACAAACATCCACTTCCTCCAGCACCGACACTCAGTAGCAGCAGTGTATAATATATGCAAGCTGCACTGCAGACATTCACCAAATATCCTTAGACAACACCTTCCAAACCCATGGCTGCTTTCATCTAGAAGGACAAGGGCAGTTATCACATGGGAACACCACCACCTACAAGCTCCGCCTCCAAGCCATTCACCATCCTGACTTGGAAATATATCGCCGTTCCTTCTCTGCCACTGGCTCAAAATCTTGGAGTTCCCTCCCTAATGGCACTGTGGGTCAGTGATTCAAGAAGGCAGCTCATCACCACCTTCTCTTTGGCCATTCGGGGTGGGCAATAAATACTGACCAAACTAGCGATGCCTATATCCTCATGAGTGAATAAAAGAAAGTCTCACACAAGGTTTACTTTTGATAACCACTATTCTTTATAAATTCGAACCAAGTTATCTGTCTCAGTTGGTGGAAACTTGTGTCCAACCCTATGGTGCATTTGGAGATTGGTGATGGAGGTGCAATAAATTGGACAGGAGGGTGGTAGCTTTGGTTTCTGCTACTATTCCAAGCCTACCCTGATTATGTTTGGGGCAGGAACATCCATGGACAGCCTAATTCACTAGTGTTAACATATTAATGGATAGAGAAGTCATCGTGTTAGGAACACGACAAACAAACCTTCGCGTGTTTGCTTGGGTGCTTCCAGAAGGCAGGAGGCCCTCATTGAAAGGCACTCACCAACTAATCAATACTTTCAAGATGAGGAAGGGGTTCCCACAGATAGCTACCAGCTTTGCACATAACCACCTTCCTGAGGAAACCTCTTCTCACAAACTTCTACCCATTCACTTGTGCCTGGTCCATCCTCAATCCAAGGCTGGTTACTATATTGGCAGTAGCATTACACCCCTCCCTGCATCCAGTGGTGCCCCTGTGTACGGAGGAGCCTCTAAATGGCCATTGCCATGCTCATAATAATAATCTAATAATCAAGTCATCAGGGATTGATTATTTAGTTAGTTTATTTGAAGAAGTAAATCACATAAGTTATGAAGCAGACACTACAGCATACAAACATAAAGCAGACTTTTGAGAAGAGCTGCATCATTTCACACACACACACAATATATGGCGTCTTTTAAGTTGAATTCTCTTAAATGCAAGATACCAAACATCTCCTTCCTTTCCAAAAGAAGTTAACTAGTTACAATATGTGAACCTGAGAGACTCCATTATGTAAACGTGATTTACTGATACACCCAGATCGAATTAATGCTGACTATGTTGTTTCTTTCTGTGTTCTGGATCTTGTATGGTGCAACAGGACTAAGAGGCCATTGGGAAACTGGAACAGACCTGATCTATCCTCAGTTCCATCTCATCGTTGTGTTAGCTTGTGTGTATGGACCAGTTCAGATCACATTCTGTTAACTTGGCTGAATGTCATCTGCCTTCTGCCGAATCCTGAACACAAAATTGTTGTTCCTGTTCTAATATTGGAATTCTTGCACCCACATTTTTAATTCGAGCTCATTTGTCACTATCAGTTGCACTTTTACAAATTGCCCTTGAGTTTCAAAAAGAGCACTTTGGATACAAGTCAGTAAATTGGTATGTGAGTCAAACATGCACCCACTGGTGATGGAATGGTTGCATTCTGAAGCATTGCTCTCAAATGTAACATTACAGTCTGTAGGTCTTGCTTGTGTCTGTCTGAATTTGAGGATTAGCTTTTTGACTGTGAAAATAATGCTTTCACTTAGACCACTGGTCCTGTGATAAATGGAGAAAAGCAGTGTGTTTGATTTTCCTGAAATAACTCCCCAGTCAATTTTCCAGAAAGATCTCACGAGGACTGCTATAAAATTACAAGTTAGATGCTTCTGGAAGTGACTTTTCCAAAGCTTCAAAGAGGTCCTGCTGCTTCTCACACCATTTTGAAACTATGTTCTTTTTCCCAATAATTCCCTGAGTGCTGAAGACTAATGAGTAAAATTAGAAATGTGTGAGGATGAGAAATTGAAGTGATCTGGACATCTTTGAAGATCATCTTTCCCTGAGGAGTTGGTATGATTTTTGTGTTCTTCATTTCACTTGAATCAGGATATATTGGAGTAAATAGAACTGAAAAGGTTGACATGTGACAAGTTGATGTGACATTTCAAATTGTTGAATATCAATCTTTCATTTCATGCTGCTTGCATCAATACTTGTAGAGAGGTAGTAGGAACTGCAGATGCTGGAAAATCTGAGATAAAAAGGTGCAGAGCTGGATGAACACAGCAGGCTAAGCAGCATCATAGGAGCAGGAAGGCTGACGTTTCGGGCCTGGACCCTTCATCATTTT